CATCAACAGAAAATTGGATTACAGATTTACTGAGCATGGCCCCGCCCATCAGAACAAGACCCAGTTTCCCCCTCAGTCAGTCTCTCCCATCAGGATTATGGGTATTTCTTCTTTAAATATATATCATCATATACATGTATATTTTTTCAGATCTCACAGTGGGCTTGAGTGACGTTTATAATCAGAAAGCTATATTAAGAAAATAGAAGGCAGCTAAGGAAGTTCGGCTGGCAAACAATTGATGTGTACCAGGCCTTGTGCGTGGTGTTGATTCTGAAATAAAGCAAGTATGGTGTGCCCTTCTAGAAGCTCACAGACCACCACAGGAAACAGCTTTGGGGAGACAAATGGTTTTTGGAGAAATGTGTTGTACTAGAGGTAAGTTCGAGGTACAAGGAGTAATTAGCTCTGGTTAGAAGCCTAGGAAATCACTTCCGGAATAGGAGACATTTCAGCCAGACCACCTCGAGGAGGAGGGGAGGAGGAAACAGCATTGCGGACTCAGGGAGGGAACAGCTCGTGTAAAGGCACGCAGGCAGGAACACCCTGGCATGTTAGAGGAAACTCGAGCACCGAGGAGTGGCTGGAGCAAAAGCCTGACACAAGGCGTAAGAGGAGGTGAAACTGGAGAGGCAGAGAGCCCAACCCAAGGGCTTGTGGGACCTGAGCTGGAAGGCAGGTGGTTCCCAGACTGTGTGCCGAGGAACACCAGTCCTCCTTCAGGCTGTGATGGATGCTCAGAGCAAAGGGGTTCCATGGCAAAATAACTTTGGAAAACTCTAGGTTAAAGTAGGGGTTTTTTTTTTTCTCCTTTTTTTTTAAAGTTGTAGGACACACGAAAGCCTTTAATATATGCCAGGGATTCTCTGAGACTGGGCAGCCTAGGGAGCGTGCCTCAAGTTTATTTAAGGCAGACTGGTCACATCTCCCCTCCACGTACACTTTACTGGTGTTGTTTTAAAGAAAACTTGCTCTATCTTATACAGTGATGGCCCCAGGGTGTGGTTTGGGAGATTTGGCTGCGGTCAGTAGGCAGCCCAGGAGAGAAAGCAGGGACATGGGAGTCTCCAGACCTGGGCTCAAGTCCCAGTTTCACTGTTTACCAGGCCAGTGATCTTGGGCAAGTTACAGAAGCAAATTGCTTCATTAGTGAAGTGGAACTAATAATGGGGCTTCCCTCATAGCTCAGTCGGTAAAGAATCTGCCCGCAGTGCAGGAGACCAGGGTTCGATCCCTGAGTCGGGAAGATCCCCTGGAGAAGGAAATGGCAACCCACTCCAGTGTGCTTGCCTGGAGAATCCCATGGACAGAGGAGCCTGGTGGGCTACAGTCCATGGGGCTGCAAGAGTCGGACACGACTTAGCGACTAAAGAGAGAGAGAGAGGCTTTGGGAGGTTAGTGAAAGAATACCAGCTATGTGGTAGATGCCCCACATGTTCTCAATAATTGACAGTCATCCTGATAATCTTCTCATCTGTGTTTCAGGAAGATCCCTTGGCGGCTGGTTTGGAGGATTCTCAGCCAAGTTCAAGCCTGGAGGGGACTAATGAAAATGCCCTGTGGCTGTAAGAGGCAGAAAATCAAGGGACCGGATGGCTGATGGAGTTAAAAGGGGAATATTGATGGCATCCTGGGGTTTAGGAACAGTGGGTCTGAGAGTTCGTGGGGCTTTGAGCCAGGATGGAAAGTCCAGGGGGAGCAGCATTTTAAAGAGGAAAATAATGAATTTTTTTTTCTAACTCTGACTCTTCTGCATGATTTAAAACTGGCTCTAAAAGCTACTCCTTGATTTATTTATTTTTTTAGAATTGTAGACACAATGATTACTCCCGGTTTCAAATTGCATTTCACCGTTGTTTTTCTTTGCCAGACTCAGAGGGTTTTTATTATGTCTTTTCCCCAGCCTGTAATAACAAAAGAAGAAAGAATAAATTTTAGGTGGGAAAATTAGTTGCTCAGCTCTGGCCTGAAAATTACCATGTATGAGTATGTCTAGGTGCTGTCATGGAAGAAAGATTCTGTGGTTCCACAGGCGTGGGGCGGGAGTGGAAATGCTGCCTTTTGAATGGATGCCAGTGGCACATAGATGTTTCCACACTGGGAGTCAGCGTGCACCCCCTTATGAACCTGTGTGTTCACCACGAAGCCGCCACTGATTATAGACAACCAATGGTAATAAGAGGACCACGCCAGACATTTTGCTTAGGGTAGATCTGATCCTTGTGACCTCCCAGGAAGACAGGTCAAAACAGCACCATTTTGAGAACTTCCCTGGTGGTCCAGTGGTTAAGACTCTGTGCTTCCCATGGAGGGGGCACGGGTTCAATCCCTGGTCAGGGAACTAAGACCCCACATGCCATGAGGCAGGGTTAAATGATTAAAAAAAAAAAGAAAGCACTGTCCGTGAGGACACTGAGGTTTAGGAGGTGAAGTTGCCTGCCTGAGGTCACATAACTAAACAGGGCACAGCTGAGATTCCAGTGTAGGTCTTTCTGCTTCCAAAGTGCAAAAATAATAATAATAAAAACACTAAAGTGCAAACTCCATTATCCCATGTCTACGTGTCTCTGGAGGATGCAAATAAGATGCTTGGCACAGCACCTGGCACATAGTAGGCACGAAGTCAAGGTTAGATGCTCCTATTATAATTGTTATTCCTAAAATTCAAAGCAGGGTGGCTACTGGTGGCAGAATCTGAGAGCTACTGTGAGCCACCACCCCCCCGCCCCCCGCAGCCCCAAACGTAACAGTAGCATGTGTTTGTATTTGGTGTTCTCACCGGCATTTCCCTTAAGCCTAATAGCATTTGCAGCAGGAGGGAAACTTCCTCTTCTGTGTCACTGTGGGAGTTTTACAGGCAAAGGAACCAAAGATTAGGACTTGCCTCGAATTCCCCAGTAAGGAGAGCGAGACCTGAACTCGAGTCTCCTGACTCCCAAGCCCTCCCTCGCTTGTAGCGCATTCACTCCAGGGATGGTGTCTTCAAGTCTCTCTCTATTCTGTCTTCCTGACACCTTCTCTGCAGGTCAAATCTCCCTCTGCTTCTATCATATAAAGACACTTCTGGTGCATTGAGAGTCTACTCAGATAAGTCTCCATCTCAAGAACCTTAACTTCTTCACATCTGCAGGATATTTTTTGCATAGAAGGAGCACCCACAGGTTCAGGGATTCAAATGTATATGTATTCTGGGGCATCATTTCTGAGCACACCCTAATGGCTGAATAAATTCATGTATCTGCTAACTATCCTCCAAGGACCTGGGGATTGAGAGTTCGGAGGGGAGTGTCCTGGCAGAGAAAGAAAAAAGTGAAGAAAGAGGAGGATGGGGTTGAGGTCTTGAGTAGGCTCAGGCAGCCCCTCTGAGTTTTAGTGGTGCTGAATGAGCAGTCAGGACGCTCACTGGATGCCGTTGGGGAGGGGTCAGCAAAGCATTGAGCACCCATGTCAGCTGACCCATCATGGATAGAGTCAAAGTAATGGTGTGGTCCATGGATCTTAATGACCAATTTAGGTCCCTGGAGCACTGGAAACTTCTTGAGTGTCTGCGGCAGTGCCCACTTCAGAAAACCCTGTTCTGTATCATCACATACTGGCCACAAGTCTGTAAGACATGACCCATGTCACCACAATTGACCTGGCCTTTTCCTAAAACCCCTCAACCTCCTCTGTACATCTTTCCCAGGGAGCATCACTTTCGTAGATGGTGCAGCTTATCTTTGTCCTCGGTGTTCACCTGGATTCACTCTGGGAGGGGAGAGAGGGCTGGTTTGAACCCAGAGTTTTAACTACACCTCACAGGTTCTTTTTCATAGTTTAAGGGTTGTATCTTTTATATTTTAAATTAATTTTTATTGGAGAAGAGTTGCTTCAAAAAAGTGAACCAGCTATACATATACATATATCTGAAGAAGGGCATGGCAACCCACTCCAGTATTCTTGCCTGGAGAGTTTCACATACAAAGGAGTCTGACAGCTACTGTCCATGGGGTCGCAAAGATTCGGACACGACTGACTAACACGCACACACACACATATGTCCCCTCTCTTTTGGATTCCCTTTCCATTTAGGTTACCACAGAGCACTGAATAGAGTTCTCTGAGCTATACAGTAGGTTCTCATTAGTTATCTATTTTCTACATAGTATCAATAGTGTGTATACGCCAATCCCAATCTCCCAATTCATCCCATACTCCCCCAGCGGTTGTACCTTTTAAAAAGTATTATTATTTAAAGATACCCATCTGTAACAACAACAAAAAAAGAAACAGGCTCACATACAGAGAACAAAGTAGTGGTTATCAGTGGGGAGAGGGAAGAAGCAAGGGCAAGAGAGGATAGGATACTAAGAAATACAAACTAGTGGGTGTAAAATAAACTACAAAGATATATTGTACAACACAGGGACTATAGCCAATATCTTACAATAACTATTAATGGAGTATAAGCTTTAAAAATTCTGAAAAAAAGATACTCAGTATCTTTATCAGTAACAATAATAATTAAAATAATCACTGTTGATAATAGCCTTTATGTGTTACACACTGTTTTAAGAGCTTTGGGCTTTACATATATAAAATAATTATGTGTGTGTGTGTATTAGTTGCTCAGTAGTGTCCGACTCTTTGTGATCTCACGGACTGTAGCCCGCCAGGCTCCTCTGTCCGTGACATTCTCCAGGCGAGAATACTGGAATGTGTAGCCATTCACTTCTCCAGGGGATCTTCCTAACCCAGGAAACGAACCCAGGTCTCCCACACTGTGGGCAGATTCTTTTTACCATCTGAGCCACTTACTGGTAGCTAAAATAATTATAATTAATGGAAATATAAGTATAATTAAATCATTATAATAAATAATTTAAGCTTCCCTGTACAACAACCCTGTAAGGTAGATACTAACATTATCTTCTTCATCTCACAAGGGAAGAAACTGAAGCTTAGCAAGGTGAAAGGGCAGATGCAGGAGGAAATCCACCTCCAGAGTCCTGCTCTTATCCATGAGGACATATGCGTCCCTTTTGGATGTTCTTGAAGCAATGCCACAGTCTGGAGGAAGTTTTCCCGACTCCACAGGAAGAAGACAGAGACCGGCAATTCCAAAAGGAAAAGCATCTGAAGAGTCCCAGGTCCTCACACCTGCTGAGCTTTCGTCAGTTACAGATTCCCAGCCCTTCATCCCCCACAGACTGCCTGCATCAGAATTTCTGGGTGGAAGCATCAAAATTCATTATGTCAACACCTCCCCCCACACAAGTGGTTCTGATGCTGTTGATCCAGGTGCTGGCAATCCAGAACCTCGGGTCTGCTCCTCCCACTTTACAGGAAGGGAAACGGGTTTGGTGGAGCTGGAGGACTTTAACGAGGTCCTGCAGCTGGTTTTGCCCCTTACGAAACAGGGTTGACCCAGGGAGGACCTGCAGTGGGTGGAGCTATGACAAACTCAGGTGTGGCTCTTGGGTTCTCTCGTCTCCCCGCTGATCTTCTGGCGGGCACATGCTGGCTAGGTTTCCTCTGCGCAGGCAGGAAGCCCTAGGGCAGGGGGTCTTCCCTCTGAAGGCTGGACACAGTGGAGGCGAATTTTCAGAACGGTTCATACAATAGTTCCGAGATGGGTGAGCTAGATTCATGGGGCAAGTACAATGGGTTCATGAGTCATATGAAATCCTTGAGCCATGTTTCTCACCTGAGGACAATCACACAATGTCCCCAAGCTACCCCTGGCCCCATGATTCAGATAGAGCTTGGGTTGAAAGTCCCATGGCACAAGACCCGGTGTGACATTTACACTCCCTGTGGGGCGATGCGATCATCTGTTTAATTCTTCACTGGAGTTTTGTCTAAGAGTAGTTGCTTTGTTTGACCACAAGGGAGTGCTAACGGGCTTGGTGGCCACTGGTTGGGCCGTGAAAAACATCGAGGGCTTTAAAAAAGAAATCTCAAGATTGCTCCCTCCTTAACCCATCAAAACTTAATTTTTTTTTCTATTCTGCACTTAACAATTTTTCTGCAATAAATTTACATTGCCTCTACAAAACAAGAATGATGGGAGGTCACCACTCTGATAAACTTGTTATTTTGGTATACTACCCTTGTATACTTTCTTTACATGGTTGTGGTTACATGGTGGTAAAATTGCTTACTGGCTTTTAAATTTGATACTGTAATAATTTTCTATGTTACTAAAGTTCTTCAAAAACACGTTTATTGCTGCATATTATACAGTGATCATATATTGAGGGCTCACTTGGTACCAGGAAAAAACTTTACTGAGTGTTTTACACGTATTTTTACTTAGTCCTCATTCCATGAGGTAGATACTATTATTACTCATATTTTATCTTTGAGTAAAGAGGAGGCTTCAAGAAAACTTGATAATAAATGGTGGTGTGAAATGTATTATGTCTAACATCACTGTCTTTCTCTAATCACAATGCTTGTTCATTGGGTATTACCAAAACTCACTTAATCATTCACCTAGGGTGTCCATTTAACTTATTCCAACTTTCATTACTATAAATTAAGCTGCATAAAACATCTTTTATGTATAAAGCTTTTTCTGGATTCAGGAAATTTTCTAGAAGTGAACTTACTAAGTCTAAACATTTTAAGGCTCTTGATAAATACACAGCACAAATATGTTTTTGTTTGTTTTAAAATTTTATTTATTTTATTTTTGGCTGTGCTGGGTCTTCGTTGCTGCATGCGGGTTTTCTCTAGCTGTGGCGAGAAGGGGCCACCCTCCAGGGGTGATGTGAGGGCTTCTCATCGCAGTGGCTCTCTCTGCAGAGCATGGGCTCCGGGGCACTCGGGCTTCAGTACTGGTGGTGCGCGGGCTCAGTTGCCCCAAGGCATGTGGGATCCTCCCAGATTAGGGGTCAAACCGGGGTCCCCTGCATTACACGGCGGATCCTTAACCACTGGACCACGAGGGAGGCCCCAAGTATAAATTTTTTAATTTCAGAAAAACTTGAGCTGACCAGATATTTTATTTTTTTAACTTTTAATTTTATATTGGCATATAGCCGGTTAACAACATGATAGTTTCAGGTGGCCAGCAAAGGGGCTTAGCTGTATATATGCATGTATTCATTCTCTCCCACACTCTCCTCCTATCTAGGTGGAGATCCAGCTACTAGCTGGATATTTTATGACACTAAGGAATTGTTGTTGATATTTCTAGATGTGCTAATGGTACTGTGGTTATGTACTTTTAAAGAGCCCTTCCTAGTGATACATAGTAAAGCATTTACAAATGAAATAATATTGTATAGAATTTAGTTTAAAATAAGTAAGGGAGGAGTGGGATTGATTTAAAAAAGATTAGGTGTGTGTTGATGGTTGATAAAGCTGGGTTATGGGTACACAGGTGTCAATTATGCTATTCTCTCTACTTTGGATATGTTTGAAAATTCCTATGACAAAGACTTTAAAATATAGCAATCAAAATATCTTTGAATCTACAAGAGAAGACAGCCTTTTATCTCCTGCTGTACCCAGTTAGTGAGAAAGGCAGAAAAAAAGAAAAAAGGTGGCTTTCTACCAACAGAATAATTTTGTTCATATCCCTCTCTCCATCAAACAGAAGTTAAGTTCTCCCTAAAACCAAAACATATCAACTGATTTTGTTTTGCTAAGATTTTATTTTTAACAGGATTATAGAGCTGGAAAGAGTCTTAGAGATCTGGTCTTCATTTTTTTTTAAACTTCTGAGAATCGTCTTCTGAATTATAATCAATCCTCTTATGACAATTTCATGCACACACGTCCTAGCCATCATTTGGTGCAGCCTTTGTTAAATTCCTGGAATTGTCCAGCATTCCCTTTCATGGGGGGAAATTCACTCATTATTTTATTTTATTATTTTTGGCCACACTGTGTGGCATAAGGGATCTTAGTTCCCCAACCAGGGGTAGAACCCATGCCCCCTGCAGTGGAAGTACAGAGTTTTAACCACTGGACCACCAGGGAAGTTCCTCATCCATCATTTTAAATTTAAAAAGCCATATGTTTTGTTTTATGGACACAGGTGTTTTTGGAGACTGTCTTCTGGGGGAGGTCATGGCATCAAAAGGAAAGAGTTATACTGCTTGGTACTTGGCACACACCACTGTGGTTTTATTCAAATCCCCTCCACCCTCCCACCCTCCCTGCTCTTCCTCCTGTGGGTTGGCACCTTCTATCCACCCTCCTGTGTTCTTTCCGTAGGACACACAGGCCTCACCCAGACAATTCTGCCAGCAGTCGGGTCTGGGCTTGTCCACACAGCACTTACTCTGGGCAGCTGGTCCCCAGGGAGGTAAACCCAAAGGAGGATGTTGATGAAATCTGGGAACAGCATGGTGTCCCGACCGTAGATCTTGGTTTTTCAGTCTTCAAGAGTCCTTAATCTATGGAATCAAAAACAAACAAACAGAAAACAAACTCAAAAGGACACAGAGGAACAGGGGACGTCTCTGGTGGTCTAGTGGTTAAGAATCCACCTTCCAATGCTGAGGATATGGGTTAAACCCCTGGTTGGAGAATTAAGATCCCACATGCAGAGAGGCAACTAAGCCCATATGTCTCAGTAAAGACTCAACAAAGGCAAAATAAATAAAAGAGATACAGAGAACACACTTGTTGTTCAGCTGGTAAGTCATCTCTGACTCTTTGCGACCCCATGAATCGCAGCACGCCAGGCTCCTCTGTTTTACACTATCTCCCAGAGTTTGCTCAAATTCATGTCCATTGTGTTGGTGATGCTATCTAACCGTCTCATCCCTTGTCACCCTCTTCTCCTTCGGCCTTCAATCTTTCCCAGCATCAGGGTCTTTTCCAATGAGTTTGCTCTTTGCATCAGGTGGCCAAACTATTCAGCTTCGGGATCTGTCCTTCCAATGAATATTCAGAGTTGATTTCCTTTGGGATTGACTGACTTGAGCTCCTTGCAGTCTAAGGGACTCTCAAGAGACTTCTCCAGCATCAGTTTGAACAGACTGGTGGTTGTCAAAGGCAAAATTGGGGGTGGGTGAAAGGGCTCAAAAGGTACAAACATTCAGTTTTTTGTACAAACATTCAGTAACTTTGAAAGTTACTAAGAGAATAGATCTTAAAATTTCTCATCACAAGAAGAAAAAATTTTGTAACGATGTGTGGTGATGGATGTTAACTAGACTTGTGGGACTGTTTTGCAATATATGCAAATATAGAATCATTATGTTGTATACTGAAAACTAATATCATGCTATATGTCAATTATATCTCAACTTTAAATAAGGCAAGAAAGAACGAAATAGGTGCTTAGTAAATTTCAGGTGTCTTCAGCTTTTACTATATGAGTAATTAGAAATATAAATTTTATTATAAACCCTGGATATTCTTTAAGTCTTTAAGAAAAAGCAACTCAGCAAAACTTAGCATGCCTTCTCCTGCTCTGTCCCTCCAACTTGGCCATAGAAATGAGAATTTCTAGCCATTCTTATATATTGCATGTGATTTAGGAAATAAAGTATTTTAAGGCAGAGAGAGTCCACTCCCTTAAATACCACAACTGCAGGGTTTTGTTAAGTTCAGTGGATGTTAGATGCAATCTTTGGAGCCCCCACCCTGACCCACCATGTATATGAAGGATTTTTGTACTTTCCCCCAGGCTTTGGAAACTCCATCCTAAGGATGAGACGACAGGGTTTCCAACTCTCTCTTTTTTTTCCCTGGTGCTGTGCTATTTCTTCTTCTTCATCTCTCACTCTCTCTCTCTTTTTTTTTTTTTCCACTGCTGGCAAGGATATCTTAGTTCCCCAACCAGGGATTGAACCTGCACTCCCTGCAATGGAAGCACAGAGTCTTAACCACTGGACCACCAGGGAAGTCCCTGCTCTATCCCCGCCCCCTTTTTAAAATTTATTTGGCTGCGCCACGTATAGTTGTGGCATGCAGGCTGTTAATTATGACATTCAGGGTCAAGTTCCCAGACTGAGGATTGAACTTGTGTGCCACAACTGAGACCGAGCACAGCCAAATAAATATTAAAAAAAAAATAAAAATATCCCAACTCAGCAGGCAGGAACTTTCTTTCTTCTTTCCTTCTTGTAGACCAGGCTGGAGGAAGTCGGGACCTGTCCGAACTCTAGCTGGAAGTGCTTGTCCGTAAGAGCCGAGTGCAGGGGAGAGCTGAGAGGTGCTTCCCGGTCCAGGGAGGGCCCTTCACTGGCTCTTACGGAACATCACTCCTTCAGCGGTGAGTGTTACTGAGGGCCTGTGATGGGCCTGGTCTTGCAGAAGGAGGGAGAGACAGATCCCATCCCAGGCCTCCTGGAACTCACCATCCAGGGACAGAGATGCTAATAATTCTTGAATCACTCTTTGGGTAAGTGTCACAAAGGAAATAGTCAGGACCAGAAAGATCTAGGCCACGCTGATTTAC